CAGACATACATGTATAAATATTGTATAGTTTCCCTAGTATAAGAACTCAAAAGAAGAAATACAAATAGAAAGATATAATACAAGTAAAAGGAAAGCAGGAACTCGAGGACTAACTAATCAAGAGAGGGAAAGAAGAAGATCTAGGAAACATGACAGTGACAAGCCATACAGTTATATGTAGAAGATGGGCAAGGCAATGGTCCTGAGAATCTCCAGAAGATTTTTTAATCTAGCAGTTAATTGGAAAGATTCTCACCCTGACTAACTGTATATACTGATCAGCACAGTCTTTGTAAACTTCGGCCCTGGGTAGAGAAGAGAGAGATGTTCCAGGCTGGAGAAGCTATGCAAAGACATAGCTATATGAGCATGCAGTGTGTCCCAGGAAAGCAAGAAATGTGTATGGCTGAAACGTTCAGTGCAAAAGGTGGCAGGGTGCGGCCAGGTTGGCTGCTGGACTGGAAAGATAATTTCAGACTAGACATCAGAGGGCTTTGGAGTATTAATTGCTGGATTTGTTACTGAAGCATACAGGTGAGTTTTGGCTCCTTAGAACACAAGTGGGAGTATCTACTGCACCAGGTGATGAGAGTTAAATAGGGAGCCACTTACAAGGGCCTGGCTGCGAACTGGGTGCAGCAGCTGCTTCCTAGCCTGCCTGCTTCTCCCCGAATAGGGACTGTGGACTTTATCCCTTAGGGTCTCAGAAGAGAAAAGGGTATACCTGAGCAGAAATACGGAGCTCGTTTTGGAGCTGTGCGCTGTGCCATGTGCACTGTGAGTAGAGACAGCCACGTAGGGGTGGGGCTGATACGTGGAAATGTATTTAATTTCAGTGTTGTTTGCTTGGTAGGTCACTGTTGTGTCCCTTTCCTAGGATTTTAAATATTCTTAATGCTGAAGTGGCTTTCATGGGGGCTGAGTCTTCTCTTTACTGCTTCTCAGAGACAGGAGAGGTGCATTCTTGAGCACACATTTTCCTTTTGTCACTATGCCTGGTGGCTAGATCCTGGTGTCCTCTGTAGCCAGGAGGCCACTATATTCCTGTACTTCTTCCTGAAACAATTCAGTTTCAACCCATGTTCACTAAAGGTTTGAAATAAACATGTCTGTTGCATCATGACTTTGTGAATGCTGTCACCTATTTCTGCATTATGGAATCTGCCTGGTCCTGAGGGACCCAGTGGTGGAAATCACTTAGCACTTTCAGTGTTACAAACAGCTCACTACAGCATGAAAAAAAGGGTGAGGGGTGCTAGGGAGCTAGCTTGGCAGTCTAAGCACCTGCCTGGCAAGCACAAGATCCCTAGTTTGATACCCAGGACAGTGTGCTGTGCCAGCCTCAAAACGGGCATGGTGGCGCATGCCTGAAATCCCAGTGCTGGAAGGCTGAGACAGGAGGATCACTACAAGTCTGAGCTGCATAGTGAGACCCTGTGTCAAAAGAAAAATTAAAAAAAAATTAAAAACTCCAAAACAATGTTTTTCCTCTACCACATCACCTTTTTAAAGCATTGTGTTTTACAAACCCATATTTACTTTCACTTAAAAATTGCATAACCTTAGGCATCTCTTTGACATACGTCAGTTTCCTAACCTATAAAATGGAGAAAATAGCACTTGCCCAAGAATATGAAGGTTTTTTACAAAGATTAAATTAGTGCTTGGCTCATAGAAAAACTTACATATTTTAGTATGTTTCCTATTCCCTTAAGACCTTCCCACCCAGGCATTTTCTGTGATCTGTTTGTTTGTTATTTTAGGCAGCAGAATGTCCTGGGAAGCTGTACATCTTCCATTCTTCCTTGCCAACTGCTGAAGCACCAGGGAAACTAAAAAACAGAGATGACAAAAAACTGATTAATACAGACAAGGAGAAGGTACTTCATAAATAATTACTCTTTGAAGGGTCTGTCCATCCATCACTAAGAGAAAATAAAGTCAGTGTGTGCTTTTTTAGGAAAGAAGGGGAGAAGCTACATCTAATTGTATGCATGACCTTCTATAGGAATGTTTTAGGTTGTAAGCCACCAGAGAAACTTCATATTCCTAAAGAAACTGATACTGGAAGTACTGACATTAATCAGAGCGCCATATTTTAAAATATATAATCTGTATGAGAGGTGCTGAGTGATGAGACCATTAGAGAAAGTAGGAGGGGTGCAGGGAGGAGTGTAGAGGGGGAGCATGGTCCCTCATGCAGTCAGCGGCCTGAGGCATACGGGGAGGCGTGAGGCTTGGGGAGTGCCTCTTCTCAGGCCTTGGACAGTGGGGTGTCGGGGACGGCCCAGGCCACGCATGGCCACGTGGCATCACGCTGAGAGCCTCCTGTGAATCTGTGAGCCAGCGTAGTGGTGTCAGCTCCACTGTGGTCACTGGGACCACTTCGGAGTCAGGGCATGTGACTGTGTCTTTAGCCCAGTTCCCTTTACTGGAAAATATATACATTTTCTATTTTAAAATTCAATGAGAACTCAGATCCCAACTTCACCTTTCAACTGAAAATACTTCGTAACTCTTTCTTTCTTGCACTTTTCCCCTCAGATACTTTTCCAGCCCCAAACGAGCATCTATGACTCCTTGGCCAAGGACTGTGTGGCACATGGCTGCTCCGTGACCGTCTTCCTCTTCCCCAGCCAGTACGTGGATGTGGCATCTTTGGGGCTTGTCCCTCAGCTCACTGGAGGAACTCTTTACAAATACAACAATTTCCAGGTACAGGGCAGCTGTTTGTTTCTCTCAGTTTTGCCCAGTTTTACTTTTGATGCTTACATCATGGGTTAAGAAGGATGGGCCTATTGTGGGCACTGGACAAGTGCAGATTCGAGAGTGCTGGAAAGCCTTATACCATATATGTGTTTAGGGGAGTTCACATTGCCTAAGAGAGGCATATATAAAGTAGGTTTAACATAATGCTTGAAAAGGTAGCTACACATTTGTTTCAAGTTGTTCAGATTTGGGGTGAACAATTCATTACACCACTCTGTTTTACATTTCAATGAGTGGAGAGGTCCAGGAGATGATCAGGATGTCAGTACTTAACAGCTTCAGTCTGTAGGAAGTAGACTACCTAATGTGTTGTCCCTGAACCCGACAGGCACCAACAGAACCTGACAGCCTGGTACAAGGTGGGTGGTCTCATGACTCTACACACAATATCTGAAAATGTACTGTCTGGAGGGGCAGGCAGTGTTCAGGCAGCCCCACTGCTTCCTTTTCCCAAACTTACTAATTGGATGAGTCGTTCCTGCTCACTGAGAGGAGGAGGAGGAGGAGGTCCAGGTGGGCCTCTTGTGTTGCACCCACAATGGAACATGAGTAGGGAGGGCACTCACTCAATAGAAATGACTAATGGTTGGCCATCATCTGTCTTTAATTCTCATGGATAAAATTATATCTGCCTATATTATAAACTAATAAAAAATAAGACCAACGATTTCAAATGAAATACATTCAAAGCAGATTTAAAGTTGGGCTAGGGGTGTAGCTCAGTGGGAGAGAATTTACCTAGCATGCGCAGGCTGGGTTCAGTGTCTACTACTGTCAAAACCAAAAAATGATTGTGCAGGTCAGTGCCTTAAGCCTGTAATCCCAGCATTTTGGAGACTGAAGTCTGAGAATCACAAGTTTGAAGCCAGTTTCATCTACCTGGATGAAAGAAGAAGATCTTTTTACAAAATGATAATAACCAACAAAGTTCCAAATGAACAAGTTTTAAAAGTGGGGGGCAAGGAAAGGTAGTAAGGAGGGTAGAAGCGATTTAAAGTATAACATACACATAGAAGGCAATGTCATAATGGAACTTATTAATTATCAGTTAATTTTTATAAGAAAGCTCTAAGAACTATTTTGGAGACTTCCTGATAAATCCATGTCTTCTTAGGTATGCTAGAAAAGACGCTCTTCGTAATCGCAGAATTTCATGTTTTCCTTGTCCTGCCCAATTCCTGGATACTGAGGTGCAGAGGAGCCTCCCAGGCTGACCAGTGTTAGCTGCTTTCCCAGTCAGGGAAGCAAATTTGCAAGTTTTTGAACTACAAGTTAACCTTGTGTGGTTTCCATTGTGATAAGTGAATTGGAGCTCAACTTCAGTGATTATTATTGATTCTTTAGGGGGTCCTAAAAAGTAGTCCTACTATAATCCAACAGAAGAAAGCTCCCTAAGATGTAAACAAGGAGTGAAATATTTTATAATACAAGAGGATTCAGAGTGTTAATTTTGGCTGTGCTGCTACTCGTCTATTTGCATCTACTGCACACTGTTGTAAGACTGAATCCTACTATAACATTTCTTTGCTTCAAAAATGGAAATTTTAATACTGTCTTGTCAGTGATATTGCAAGGAAGAAATGAAAAAGTGATGGCCAAAAGTTTTATAGGTATTCAGTTGGATGTACACAATTGAAGTTTATTACAAAGACAGTTGTGGTTCCTTGTTTTGTTTCTTCCTTCTTTCCCCTTGTGTTTGGGAGACGGGCAGGAATGTGTGTCTGTCTGCCTCTTTCCTATGGATTCCTTAAAGAGCTTTCCAAGTTAAATATGGCGGAGCATACCTGTATCCTAGTACTCTAGCAGGCTGAAGCAGGAGGATCCAAGTTCAAGCCTAGACTGAGCAAATTAGCAAAACCCAGTCCTAAATATAAAAAGTAGAATAAAAAAAGGCTGGGTTATAGATGGTGGGTTCAGTCTCTAATACCACCAGAAAGAAAAAAAGACTTCTTGACAAGATCTTACAAGCATTTTCGGAAACTCTTCCTCAGCAGTGGGTTCCCTCTCAGGTGAATTCTCTGAGCAAGGCATACTATATTAACGTTGCTCACTTGTGGGTTGTGAGCAGCTTTCAGAAATACAGTGATGGCAGAGTAGCTAACAAGGCTGAGAGACAGGGCTTTTACTACTGTGTGAATTGTCATTTCTGAATGTGGTCAGGTAAAAAGACATGGAGTTTCAGGGTCTTTCCTTAGTTTTGTTAAGTGAGTTATTTGGGTCTTTGTCTTGTCTCGTACACTAAGCCCCTGAGGTGATTATTTATATTCAGTTTTCATATTTGCAAAGTAAAATTAGCAGCTGAGAACTCTTCAAAGATTACAAAAATGTAAGAAAATAAAAGGGATGTTTCATTTGGAAATTTAAGAATCACTGTCCAAAGATCCTGTATTTTACTTAACCAAAGAAATGCACATAATTTTTTGAGATTAAAAAATAATGATTTTTTTTTGGTCAGGTTTAAAAATAAGAATTGTTGGGGCCTGGGAGATGGCTCAGTAGACTAAGCGCTTTCCTGGCAAGCACAAGGGCCTGAGTTCAATCCCTGGTTCCATAAAAAAATAAAATTAAAGAAAGAAAGAAAGAATTGTTAATGTAAGTCCTCTGCTGCCACCTGGTGGGCACTGATCAGACTTTGTTTTTTAGATGCATTTGGATAGCCGACAATTTTTGAACGACCTCAGAAATGACATTGGAAAGAAAATAGGCTTTGATGCTATTATGAGAGTTCGTACCAGCACAGGTAATTATCATGTATACCATTTTCAGGTCTATTTTTGTACTTTTTTTGTCTTTAAATTAAATAACAGGACAAGAAAGAAAGAGCAAAATATGGAGAAGAGGGGCCGGGGAGATGGCTCAGTGGACTAAGCGCTTCCCTGGCAAGTGCAAGGGCCTGAGTTCAATCCCCGGTTCCACAAAAAAAAAAAAAAAAAAAAAAATGGAGAAGAAAAATTCCCCTTTCTCCTTTTCTTTAGGCTTCCGAGCCACTGATTTCTTTGGTGGAGTTTTCATGAACAACACCACTGACGTGGAAATGGCTGCCGTTGACTGCGACAAGGCCGTGACTGTGGAATTCAAGCATGACGACAAGCTGAGTGAAGACAGTGGCGCCCTCATCCAGGTGATCTCATATTGTCGTCTTTTGCTTTTTAGGTTCTCACAGTGATCAGTGAGGAGTCTGAAACAATGCTACCACATGTATGAATCTCTACATTAAAAAAAAAAAAAAAATCAAGTCTTTCTCCAAAAACAGAAGTCACTGACCAGAGCACTTCGGTGTGTAGCTTCCCTGTAGCCAGTGCAGCTGTGCCACCCAAGTGCTGTGACAGTGATGTCACTGCTTGTGAACCTAGCAAGCTTGTGTTGAGTATCATGGACATCAGAAAGCAGGTTTCCCATATTGGTTTATTTATTTCAGTGAACATTTGTTCTTGCCACATGTGCGTTTGTTTGCTAAGGGTACTGTAATGAGTGCTGGACAGTTTCAACAGTGGAACTTCATTTTCTAACAGTTGTGGAGCCAGAAGTCCAAGACTAAGGCTTCTGGAGGTCATGAGGGAAAAACCTGTTCTAGGGTCTCAGCCGATAGATATTTTTCTCTTCGTGTCTTCACATGGTCTTCCACTATTACATGTCTGAGTCCAAAAGTCTTCCTCTCCTAACGAGATCCCAGTGACCTCATTTTAATTATTATTTCTTTAAAGAGCTTGCTTTTAAATACTTGCTTTTAGTTATATCCTGAGGTACTGAGGGGGGAGTTAGAATTTCAGCATGAACTCTGGAGTGTCACAATTCAGCCATAACACCATATGGAGTAGTTTATCATATCATAAACAAGTGGAATAAGATTTTGCTTCATAATGAATAAAATTAACAAGAAGCCATGTTTCAATTAAAATAATAACACATGTGTCTAATGATCATAGTTTTCAGACATCAGCAGCTGTCTTAGTCACTTTGTTATTGCTGGGTTGCCATACCCGACACACAACTTAAAAGAGGAGAGGCTTATTTTGCCTCATCAATTTTAGAAGCCTCCATCCATAGCTGACTCTGAGGCAGAAGGGTCATGATAGAAGAGTCTGGCAGAGAAAGGCTGTTCATGGCACGGTGTCTGGAAAACAGAGAGTGAAGGGGGAGTCTAGGAGGGAGACCTCAGGCCATGCCCTCAGTGACTCCCCTGTCAACCAGACCCCACATCCTAACCACCTGCAGCCTTGGATTCTGCAGTGGGTTGATGCAGTGATGGTACAGTGCCCCATGATCCAGTCATCCTGAACATGAGAGGCTTGGGGGAGGCATCAGATTTAAATTGTAACAGCATCACATTAGGGGGTAGAGAGAGGCTGGCAGTAAGCTGAGGAAAGATTTTAATGTGTATATTCTAGCCACTGGCATTTGAGGTAATAGGTCTCTATATTCTTTAATGTTCATGCGGTTGACATAAGACCTCATAAGTATCTTGATAAGCCTAGTCATATGTTTTTAAGGAAAATGGGCCTTGAGTACATGAAGGTATTATTTCTAGACCTTGATCTTTAATAGTAAAATCTGAGGTAAGTGAAACTGCAAAAATATGAACAGATATTCATATGTGAGTAGCCCAGTAATGAGTACAGTGAAATGCTACATTGAAACCCAACCAGTGAAGTGATCAGCATCCCCTGTTATTGCTCAGTCTTTAGTGATAATAAATGATAGAAAAAGCATATAGAAAAATTAGAGATTCTTTATCTGTACATACTGTTTGGAGAAATGCAAATAAGACTAGGCTACCTTGGTGCATATGGCATTGGTGTTAACCAGAAAAACACATGACCTCACTGTCCTTGCAGTGTGCTGTGCTTTACACGACCATCAGTGGCCAAAGAAGACTTCGGATTCACAATCTTGGCTTGAACTGCAGCTCCCAGTTAGCTGACCTTTATAAGAGCTGTGAGACAGATGCCCTGATCAACTTCTTTGCCAAGTCAGGTAATACTTTGCTAAGCCTGTAACTTAGTTTAAATTCAGTCAAGACCTGTTGGTTAATTGAGTCGGTGTCTGAAAAGTACTCTGGTGCTTTAGAATCTCTGAACTCTAGATCAGTAAGAATAACTCAGTTCAGGGCCAGACTGTACAGTCTGTCCTAGTGGAGAGTTGGAGTTGAAATTCAGGAAGGCACTGTTAAGCCTTTATTATGGTACAGGAGTGTGCCCTTTGGCCCGTGTGGAAAATGCCAGGAAACTGTCCGTGACCTTGGATTGACTTCAATGACCTGTACCTCGGTAGAAGTGAAATAGGGTGAGCCCCATGGCAGAAATCTTTTTTGCTTTCTATCTGAGATCTTACACAAAAATATGGATGAAATATTAGTTCAGCCCATAGGAATCCAGGACATCAGAAAACAACAAATTGATTTTTCTTTTCTCTGTGCTTACAATACTTTTTCTAATACCATTAAGATAAATCTTGGCCAGTATGGCCTTTTACTGTAAGTGGGCCATTTTATCCACTGTTATATTTTGTTAATAGTGGACCACTAGCAAATTACTTTAACACTTTTAATTATTACTGTTCTGTTTGGGTATCTTGAATGTAGTAGTAATTTGTTCTTTTTTTCTTACTTGAGATCAGTTTTTAAATTTTTGATGTTCATTTTTCTAATGGTTTTGTGCACACAGCCTTTAAAGCAGTTTTACACCAGCCTTTGAAGGTCATCCGGGAAATTCTGGTTAATCAGACTGCCCACATGTTGGCATGCTACCGCAAGAACTGCGCGAGTCCATCTGCCGCAAGCCAGGTGAGCTATGTGCAGTAGTTGGTGTTGAAAAAGCGTGTTCCTTCGGCACAGAGCTAGTGAGGCCGAGGGTACTCCGCTGCTGTCCAGCTAACTGTACAGCCAAGAAGACGAGAACATAGCTTTGAAGAAGCTGTGATGTTTTATAGCTGGTGTTAAAAAAAACTGGCTTTTACAAAGTGCCTGAGCCAGAAACATGTATACATATTCAGTTGCCAGTCATTAAATTCTGTTTAAACAAAAGTGTGTTATAAGGGAGAAGTGTTGAGACAGAATTCTCTTTTGTAAATAATTATAGATATTTTGTTGTGAAATGTATATGTTTAGACACATTTTAGGCATAGTAACAGTGTTACATGAGCTAATGGCAACAATAACATTATATTTTATGAACATTAATATAAATACTGGAAGGCTTCATATTTTAAAGCTATGAATAAGTATGAAGAGGTTTGAAAGAATTGCTTCTGGCCATCACCTAGTGATTTGAAATTTTAGAAAATTCTTTAAATGAGTCTCATTTAGGCTTCTGTTAAACAGAGTAAAACCCGAAGCTTACATTTATGTTTACATTTCTTTTCCTTTCATGTCCTTTTTTACATAAAAAATAGTATTTTCATAATTATGTATAGAAAAGCTGAGTATTGGACTTTGATTGAAAGAGAACATGGTGAACAGTCAATGAAAAACTTTTCCAGTCCATTCATTGTCAGAACAATTACTGAGAAGACATCTGGAATGCCCCTACAAGGAAGCCTTCAGCAGGAAATACAAGTCAGATAAATTTGGGGATCAAATTCACAAGCTTGGAAAAAAAAAAAAACTAAAACAAAGACATTTCTTTAATTGGGCTTCTTATAAATGTTCCTTTCTGTGCTATTCAAAGTGATTTGTCTTCCATTCTTTCTCTTCTGTATGAGCACTGTATTCAGTTGTCAATGTCAGTACTGTCATACAGTGGACCTCTTTAAACTACACAGCCCACCAGCCGCACCCAGAGACCAGGCTGAATAGCAGCCAATCATAACACTTGGCATCCCCATTTTATAATTTGCCTTCAAGCTCTGGGAGATGTTATCCTGTCTCTGGAGTGTCTCACCCTTTAGAAGAAGTAGTTAAATTAGTATCTTCTCTGGAAGTTTATTTGCTTATGTTAAAATGATTGGACTCAAAACCCGTAAGTGAAGAGCAACTCTGTTGCTTATTTAGTGGAGGGGAAAGCAGTAAAATCTATCCGTTAATTCTGGTTCAGAGTTAAAAGTTCAGATACTTGTCTCTACAAGTATGCTGTTTGTGCATGTTTTAATTCTTCTCAAGGAAAAACATGATGGAAGTTTTTCTGGATGGCTAGATCAAGATTATTTCTCTTCTTTTACTAAAGTTTTTTTCTCCATTAGCACATTTCAAGTGCGTCCTTCAACCAAAGATATTTTTTTAATGATGTAATTTATTTATTTTTTAATTTTATTTATTTTTTTTTTTTTTTTTTTTTTCCTGTGGAACCAGGGATTGAACTCAGGCCTTTGTGTTTGCCAGGGAAGTGCTTATTCCACTGAGCCATCTCCCTGGTCCCATAAATGATATAATTTAGATACCATTGTGGAATCTAGAAAATTCAGAGCTTATAAAGCAGGTAGAAATAATAATACATTAAAATATCAAGAACTGAAAACACAGAATACTTGGAACCAATTTCACTTTAGAAAATGTAACTACAAACTCAGTACCTTCCTAGAGCTTACTTATGGAATATAATCTCTGTGGGGAAATCCTAAAAGACTACCACTATTTTACCTTAAAGTCCAGTTTCCTTGACTCAAGCTAGGCCATTCAGGAGCTGTATGCTTTGATCCTGTGATACTAGGGCTCAGCAGAGCTGCTCCCACTGGTGTGCCTGGGTCGGTACTTGGGGGAGCAAGAGAGGGCATGTAGGGTAAGCAATTCAGTGACGTACCACTCTGAGGAGCTTGTGGTAGATCTAGGTTATGACCTGCTTTGAAACAGCAGTAAAACACAATTAGGCTTCTACAGAGAGGGTTAGTTATTTACATTAAATCTAATAGCTCGAAGTTGTGAGCTTATTTGGGATTATAGTGACCTCAAGAGGCAAGTTAAAAGACTATAGCTTCAAGGTGAGAGTTTTGTTGTTGCTCTTCATTATTACTGCCATTTCAAAACAAAGACTTTCCCCAATTCAAGACATGAATTTCTGCATCTTCCTCATAGCTTTCCTGTCCAAGAATAAGTTAATCATGGAGGATCCAGGGCATCATTACATGTCTTTAATTTGATCCCCACTTTGGATTGTAGTTGTCATTGGATGAGAAATTGATCCAGTACTAAATATAGGCAAATGAAAATGTTTCATGTTAGAGAAAAATTACAATTAGAAGGAACTTTTCTTTTATGAGGAAATATATTTAACTATTCTTTAAAAAATTAAAAATTGAAGGGCTGGTGAGATGGCTCAGTGGTCTAAAGCACCTACTTAGAACAAGCTTAGCAAAGCACAGGGACCACAGTACAATCCCCCAGCACCACATGCCAGCCAGCCCCGCCCCCTGGTGGGCTGAGCTGGCCACACACACACACACACACACACACAAATAAAAAAAATTTAAAAAAATTTGAGAAATAAATTGCAAAGTAGAATATTTCTGACATTTGCTTACAAACATCAGTTAGCAAGCTGTGTCTTATCCAAACTTTATACTTATGTCATGATAAAAGACCTGTGATGTTAAGATAATAATAAATCCAACAGAGCCCTGAAGTAAATTTTCTTCTTAGTATAGTGTCTAAGTGTTCATCTTTTTTCATCACTGAAATGTATAGATAAAAAGAAATCATACATTTATACAGCAGATACCTCAGAAATCTGTTTGCAAATTATCATTATATTTTGTGTGTATTTATGAGGGTATTTTCTTTTCTGTGCTGTTCAAAGTTGCTCTTAAAAGGAAGGAGGTGATGCTCCAATCTGATTATTAGCAATTCTTCTGACATAGACTTGATCAAAGATTCGATAATACAGGCTTTTGTCTAGAATGTTCTAAGCTTTCAAGTTGCCTTTCAGAATCACTCATTGTGTTGTACTGTAGTGTGTCATGTGGGCTGTGCATTTAGGCTGTTGAATGAGGACGTGTGAGCCAAAGTAGGGATGGAGAGCAGCGTACACACCCTCACAACTTCAAAAGCAAATGATATTTATAGATAAAGCTTAGAGGATCAGGCCGTGGAGATAGCTCAGAGGTCTAAGTGCCTGCCTAAGCAAGCACAAGGATCCAGGTTCACTTCCCAGTACATTCTGCTCCAATCCCGTCCTGGGCACACTGAGCCTGCCACCAAGACTGGGCATGGTGGCGCACGCCTGTAATCCTAGTACTAGGGAGGCTGAAAACAGGAGGATCACTGTAAGTCTGAGCTGCATAGCAAGATCCTGTACCAAATACATTAAAATAAAAACAAATGAACAAAAAAACCCTTAAGGGATCTTTCTCAATAAAGCTTAAGCATATAAAACAAATACCTTTCTTTTTCAGCTTATTCTTCCAGATTCCATGAAAATATTGCCTGTGTACATGAACTGTTTATTAAAAAACTGTGTGCTGCTCAGTAGACCAGAGATCTCCACAGATGAGCGGACGTACCAGAGGCAGCTGGTCATGACGATGAGTGTGGCCGACTCGCAGCTCTTCTTCTATCCACAGCTCCTGCCAATAGTGAGCGTTTCTGAGGGCTGGGAGGTGGCTGGGCCCTGTTCTGTCCTTTCCTGCATGTCATGGCTAACCTATTTTTATGAATGTTGTTAATGCGTGTTAGATATACATAATGATCACATTTGCCACAGGGTATTTGTACCTGTACATGATATACCTTGAGTTTTCCCATTCCTCTACCCTCCCTTCAGTCCTTCTTCCCCTTGTTATTTACAAAAGCTTTGTTTGTTTACTTTTTTCCCTTCTTTTCTCATTTTTTCTTTCCCTTCCTTCCTTTCCCTCTCCCCCTTCCTAGTTCCTCTTCCTATTTGAACATTTCTTTACCTAATTCACGTCTTATTATAAATTTGGTCCTTATTTACATATTGGTTTCTCACACTGGAGAAACAATGTGGTATTTATATGTGTGCCCAATTTATTTTACTTAAGAGTATGGTCTTGAGTTCCATCCATTTACCTAGAAATGTCTCAAGCTTATGCTGCTTTTTGGCTGAGTAGTACACCATTGTATAAAAGAACCACATTTCTGTCCATTCATCAGTTGATGGGCATTTGAGCTTAAACTCTTTGTTCTTAAAAAATTAATAGTGGTAAATGCCTTCAAAATATGTAGCGTGGGATTTAGAGCCCAGCTCCCTGAACAAGTTGTATGTGCTCTAACCTGCAGTCAGAGTGGTGGGGAGAGCAAATCATGAGCTCCTGCTCTGATGAACTGTGGGGAGGATCGCTTCCCTTTCCTCATTCCCAAATTGGTACTCTTTAATTATGTAGATGCACTGAGAAGTGTGCACACCAGCTGGAGCAACCAAGCTTCATTTGTTGATGAACTAACTCTATAGCATTGAAAACAGCGTATGTGTGTATGGGCTCTCACTTGCACACACGTGTTTGCCTGTTTATACAGGAAAATAATGCCTTCCAGTCACCACATTTAACCACTTTGGCTATAGTTAGCCTTACTTTAAGTGTAGTCAGGGTTTCTATTTAAGGATAGCTACCCTGTACAAGAAAATTGGCCACCCTTTTCCTCACAGAGGGGCAATGTGCCCTACTTTGTTGAAGTCGATTCTTGATGCCTTGAGGGCCCCTGTGCTCTGTGGCCAGGCTCTTCCTCCCTGGGACTTGACAGGTTACAGCTGAGGGCAGGAGTGAGCAAGGCCATGTGGATGGATGCAAAGTCCTCCTCAGGTTCTTAGGAAGTGTGGGACACGTATTGGTAGTCTTAATTTAGGATGGAAATCAAAAAGTTATTTTCAATCAACATGAAGGTTAGAAGTACATTATTACAAGTGATTGATTTCAGGTAAAATTAGATCGCCAACAGTTTGTAGGCCAGTGAAATCAGAACTCTAAAGGATAGGAACAGGGGCTGGGGAGATGGCTCAGTGGAATAAGCGCTTTCCTGGCAAGCGCAAGGGCCTGAGTTCAATCCCCGGTTCTGCCAAAAAATAAAATGAAATAAAGGATAAGAACATCACTACCCCACTGAAATTCTTTGGGAAGGCCACCAGTGATCACCTCCTGTGAAATCCCAATAGGCGGCTGTCAGGCCTCCCTTCTGTATTATTTCTGTATGTGTGCTTCAAGGTCTGTCCTCTTTGCTTACCTGTCACAGTGTTGATCCTGTGCACTACTCTTGAAATGCCTTCCCCTGGCTGCTAGCTTCTTTCCACCTTCACTGTCTTTCATGTGGAATGCTTTTCCCCACAGATCCACACAGCTCATTTTCTCTCCTCCTCAGGTCTTCCCTTGAAGGTTACCTTTCCACCCAGCCTTCCTGGACTATGCCAGTTAAAAATCCCACACCAGTCCCCCACTCACACCACTCCCCCACCACAGATACATTCCCTCTCATTTTTTTTTTCTACCCATCATGGCTCTTCTTAATGGGGGTGGGGCCATTAGCTACTTAGTTCAGGCTGGTCTTGAACTCATTATGTAGCCCAAGCTGGCCTTGAACTCACGATGACCTCCTGACACAGTTTCCCAAGTGTTTCTTCATAGCTCCTAGTACCATCTACAATTCTATGTATTTTACTCTGTTCTACTCCTTCTTCCCTCCCCAAAACCACCAGTTGCACAAGGCTCGGAGATTTGTATCTAATAAATATAACGATGCGTGGCACACAGTAAGCATTCATTAAATATGCACTTGAAGGGAGAGGGAAGAGAAATGAGAGGAAGGGGACAAAGACAAAAGGAATGGGAAAGGAAGAAAGGAGGGAGAGAAGCAGTTTCTGACTCCCCCCTTTGCCTGCACAGCACACACTAGACGTGAAGAGCACCACACTGCCTGCTGCTGTCCGCTGCTCTGAGTCTCGCCTTTCCGAAGAAGGCATATTCCTCCTCGCTAATGGTCTGCACATGTTCCTGTGGCTGGGAGTGAGTAGCCCCCCAGAACTGATCCAAGGCATATTTAATGTGCCATCCTTTCAACATATCAACACAGATATAGTAAGTGTGTTTTCACTGAATTATGGTAATTGAATACATTTCATGGCAATCTTATATTACAAAGAAGAAAAAATATATATAAGAACAAGAGAAAATCATATTTATATGCTATAAAATTCTTTTCATACAGTATTGACCAAAACACCTGACTTGAATAAAAATTGCTGACAATTATTTATGTGTCAGTCACTGTGCTCTAAATACTAATACACCATTTTAATTCATTCTCAAATCATGACATGGACATTGCCTCAGTGTTTTACAGATGAACTAATTAAGGCTCAGGGGCAGGTTCCTTCAGGTAGCAGGTGGTAGAGGTGGGAACTGGATTTAGATTTTTAACCCCAGGACTTATCCTTGGTGCAGAGCTGTATACCCAAAAGAATGGAGAAATCTTTCTTAGGTCTTTGACTCCAGACTAAATCAGATTGAAAAATTACAAAATAATCTTACAAAAGCAGGCTATATACCTTTCTCTTGCGATCACAATAGATGAAAGTGTGAGTTTGATGTGGAAATGAATACAAATGTCTAATTTTAAAGTACACTAGGAAAACTTGGCAATTATAATTCTGTTGAAGGTCAACTTCTGTTGACCACTTGTAGGTCATTATTGTATGGGCACCAGTACCGTGATGGTAATGGTCTTCCTCTGCTTGAAGGCCGATTCCTTGGGAATCTACAGTAAGGTTTCCCTAAGGCCTTACTTAAGTTATGGCGGGGTAGCTTCAGTCTAGATGCTGTAGCTAATTCCTGGTATGAATGTGTAACATAAGGTTCTACAGCATCTTGTGAAGGAAGAGGAAAACATTTTAAGCCTATGAGTGGTCAGTTTAGAAAGCTGTGTATCAATTATGAATGTCAAAAGTCCACTTTTAAAGTAAATAAGGGTGTCTATGTCGCATTAAGAGACTATTTTTAAAATTAAGCAGCTTTGAAACAGTAAGATGTATGCACCTGGTCAAAGTTAAGGCATGATTATAAATTAATGTTTAAAAGATTACAAATAAAATTCAGTAAGGAAACTGAATGAGAGAATGTTTATATAAAATTTAAGGAAGTGTCCTTTTGTATCATAATATAATATACATAGTACATGTTGAATATATATTTGCAGAACTGAACATAGATGCAAAATAGCAGTCTGTTTACCACCAAGCAGTAGACTGGAAGGTTTGTGCTTGTATCAACACAAACTCTTATTTATGTTCCTCAAAAAAATGAAAGAAATGGGCCTGAGCTCAATTCCCAGTTCAGAAAGAAAGAAAGAAAGAAAAAAGAAAGAGGAAAGGAAAATTAAAAACTCAATTTATTATTTGTTGGATTAAAGAACTTGCCTCAATATCAAAGAGGACAAAATGTGACTACCCTGCTTTTCTTACCAATACCTGTGAAATGCATTAGGATTGTCTTTTCCTAAGACTTGAGTTAGTACAGTAAGACATTCTAACTTGGCTGCCCAGCATGGACTCATAGATGATGTGCTGAATCTTAGCATCTTCTTTTTGAGCAGTACGCATTAGTGTTTTATTCATACTAATTAAGGAAAGGTAAGTTCAGATCCTGCACATCTCCTGCAAGCCATATGCAGCTGGACCGCTTTGTAAACTACTAGCCAGATTTCAAGGAAATCGAAGAGAGCACATTCCCCTTTACAAATGAGCATTTGGTAGTTTGTTTAATGTTGGCACAGTGGTACTTGGATAGCATTTTCCAAACATGGTAATGTAACAGATGGAGGAAAGTATATTCCTTGCTCTCACAACTCAGCCTGAGAATACAAATCTTAAAGATGGAGTAATCATGGAAAATGGTCCAAAGATCCGCTTTGTATAAAACTTTCCAGTTGTGTCATTTCAGTGATGTACATGTGTCAAATTTCAGACAAACATTTTTATTTGCAGAACACAGATTATTGGTGAGAATGGATGTCAAAAAATGAGTAATTTTTAGATATTTTTTCTACATTTTGAGTTTTTAGGTAAATGAGCTAAGCCAGTATTCTAGATGGTAATAAATGAATGTTCTTAACATTCTAATGTCCGATTGCTACTTCAGTCTAAATATTTTAAACTGAACTGAATCTCCCATTTTCTTAAATTTAGGCATTGCTGCCTGAGGTGGGAAATCCACACTCTCACCAACTCAGAATGATAATGAGTATTATCCAACAAAAGAGGCCATATACAATGAAGGTAAAAATGCAGTTTTGTTGTTCCCTTTCTTCATGCCTTTATTCACTAAAGACCTTAAAATATATAGTCTACATTTTCATGTGATCTACATATGTGTTCGATACAAGGTGTGATTAAAATATATGGTTAATGTTTAAATTTATAAAGAATATAGGAAAATATATGTTGCTGTTAATCCTTCTCAAAATACTCTCCTTTGCTGCACATTTATCCCATTGTTTTTCCAGTTTGTTTGGGGTTTTTTGGTACCAGGGATCAGAACTTGGGACTTTGCACTTGCCAGGCAGGTGCTTATGTCACTGAGCTATCTCCCCTGCTGTTTTGCCAGTTGTTGAAGCAGTTCTGTAAGTCCTCTTTTGTGACTGGTTTCACTGAGGTGTGATCAGAAACACAGTGCTGCTGCTCAATTCAGTCCAGTGGAAGGGCAGGCTGGTAGGAACAGCCCTGCGTGTCCTCACCACCTCATCCAGCAGATCTGTACTGGCGGGTGTGGTGCCAGTGGCTCCAGGCCCTGTCACAACTCTGCGCTCCAAGTGCTGACCTCCTTTTCTGGATCACTCCCTTCCCAAAAGCTCTTTTCCATAGTTTCCCAGCTTCACTGAAGCTTCTGCTACCCTAAAACTCTGTATTCCTTTCTTTTCATTCCGCATATAAATATTTATTGAACACCTGCAACATACCAGGCATTTTACCACCAGGCTTCTTGAAAGAGGTGTCTCTGCTGACTTCTGTATCTCTTTCCCCTCTCTTCAGTATAAACTGCCAGAGTGCTAAAGACAGCAGTCCTAATATATTAGCAGCACTTACAAGGTTGACTACCTCTTCTAAAATTACCTCTTCTGCCAGCTTTGAAACATTCTATGTCTTGGTTCTTCCTTGTCACTGACCTTTTTTGGCTCTTCTCTGTTCACCTTCCCCTTAAGTGCTGGTGATTTCCTAGGGCTGTGTCCATGGCTTCTTTTCTCACTCAGTATATTCTTCCTGGGCCCCTGATTACTCTCATCATTTAAGCTTTTCCCTGCATCAGGCAGTGAGAGATGAGGTTG